GAAAATAAAATCCATACAAAATACCCAAAAAGTCTTTTCAGCGAAAATTAATTCCAGCTAAAATAAAGTATTTAACAGTATGTGATTTTTGCATAAAGCTAGTCTTGGTAATGAGATATTACTAGTGGTGTAGGTAGGAATTATTGGAATGGCATATATCAAAAATGGTCACAGGTACATCACGTACAAGTAATGGTAGGCAATCTTGGTTGTATGCTTGTATATTGACCTCAAAAACTGACCAATTATCGCCTGATGTGGTACCAAATGAGAACGTGAAGTTTCAATAATGGACAGAGCCCTGTATTGTGTTATTGTTGATAATGCACTGAATAAGGAAATTGAATAATTCTTATGCTAAAATGCAGCTTAAAGATTGACTCATTAAATATAAAATGGAAAATGTCGTCAAAACTTGTGAATGGAAAAACAGAGAATTTTAATCATAGTCAGTCACCCAACTGCTTAGTTGTCTGTGATAAAATAATGTACATTTTTAAGCAAAATATAAGCCAGGTGTTTGAAAGTGCCTGTCAAAATTGTGCAAAAAGGATTTTGGGATTATTTAAAAAGATTGTATTTGTCAAAATTAAAAAAGGAAAAAATAATAAAATAAAAAACATAGTTGCCTGTCAATACACTAATACACTGGTATTAAAACACAAAAAAAAAAACATAATTATCATAAGATGGGGCAATAAAGGTACTGAATACTCGGGGGGGGGGGACACTTGATATGGGAGGGGCAGCATTGGATCCTACAAATACAAAGAACAAAGAATTCTTTATTCTAAGGTGCCAGAATTAACAGACCCAGTCAAAGGTTATGTTGAATACGTAACTGACTAATGAATAAAGCCAAAAAGACTGCAGGCACATTTTTGGAACGTCACGTACTTGTGATGTCTGGTGCACTGTTTCAAACTCTGGTAGATATGTGATATTAATTTCATGTTTAAAAACTGAATACTGGACAAGTTAATAGTCTAGTTGTTTTCTCCATATAATTATAATAATTTTATTCATATATGCATTGTAGGCTGGCCATTGGCCTTTGGGAACAAAATACTCAGCAAAAATTATATACAGTCAAGTAGAATATTGCAAATAAACAAACACAAAAAATTACCCAAATTTCTGATTTGAACAGGTCTTTGGGATTATGTATCATTTTTTGTTGAGTGGGAATTTGTGATATTTCGGTGAATGTCATGTCTATCATTTCTACTATTCGGATGAGACAAATGAAAGTGAAATGAAGTGCATTTTAATTTGAAAGTATTTTCCTAAAATGAATGTAAATTTGACATTAACACACTTGAATTGTTAGAGCTACTACCGTAATTTGACCTTGCCACTTCTGACAAATTTTAACTTTCAAAAACTAAATTATTTACCTGCAAATAATATAAAGTAGCCTTGAAGTTTGGGCTGCTATAGAATTCAACAATTTCATTTTGTTCACAAGTGTGCAATATTTTAATTACCAACACTGGACTATTCAGGTATGTGTATTTGACCTAAAATGGCAGAAAATGACAAAAATAATTCTAAAAAATATTAAAAAATAATTTTCTTATTATAAAGGGCATAGTGTGCACAATTTTTCATGATTTGTTGATGTTTGTTGATGGTAAATGTTAAACTAAATTCATCTTTTATACTAAAAATCGGTGACTGAACCAAGTTATACGTGTATAATCTGTAGGCATCATTCACAGTGCCACAAAATAATGGACCTGAAATTCAGAGTAGTGGCATGAATTGTTAGTTGGTTCATTGCACTGTGAACTAAAAATTATTATCCCCAAACAAAATGGCTATTGTTGATGTCACAACACTGTGTGGTATATATGAAATTAATTTCACTGGCAGTCACATGCCCTGTAGTGTCAATATTGAAGCGCGTTGGTCGTCGCGCAGCGCGTGTTCAAATTTCATGTAAATAAGCAATGTATTTTACACGCGTTGTATACGTCGCTATGAGTCCCCTATCGAACAGGACGCAGCACAACGACTGCTGCCCTTTAATTTTAATGTATCATATTCTGTCAACATGGGATTGTGACAGCTAGTTCCAATAAGAACTACATAAAGTAATACATATAGTACTTCTGTTGTCAAGTGTTCTCGAATAGGGGCATACAGTATCCTATATTTTGCATGTTTTTGATAAAACAATTCTGTTATTTCAAACAAAACAAAACAGGTGTGTGAAAATCCTGGCTAATTGTTACTGATTTTATAATATGTCTACAACATAAACCTCATGTTACCTGTTTAATTAGGCTGCACTGGGAGTCTCCAAGAAGGTTTAATTGATTTAATACTGTAAAATGAATAATTTTCAATGGGTTTAATTTTTCACTGATTTTCCATTTCAGGCATAATCAGTGGGTGTTAAATTCACGGTTTTATCATTTATATAATGTGTTCTATGCTAAATTTTACATATTCACTGGGTTTTAATTTAGCGCAATTTCTAGTCAGTGAAATAAGCAAAATTAAAACCCAGTGAATAATTAATCCTTTTACAGTACTTTGTTTTGAGACAGAATGACTTCACCATCCAAAGACAACACAGTATTGAACATATACATGTATACTGATAGAATCTATAACTCTGTTAGTCATTCCAGTGTCAGGACCACTCTTGTTGTCAAGAAAAGACGACGCATGCAGAGCTATTTGGATAGTCGGACCAAATATGGGGAAGTAAGTTTTATTCACAAAGTTGTATGAATATTTATAAATGTCAACTAACACATAGGTGTCAATTGATAATTAAATGGTTTCTTAACAATGTATGAAAAGTGTAGACAACTGCTTTCAAATTGTGGAAAAAATGGTATATAAGAAAAAAAAAGCTTGTCATTATTTATTTCAATAATCTCATTGAATTAAATCTTCTCATTGAATTTCCTCACTCTGTGATATTGGAATAAGTGTTTCATCACACACATGGAAAAGATATACGGCAACGTTCCTGCATTCTTTCTTACTGTGATGTCAATCATTTATAGTGGAAAATCGAGGAATTTTTTTAATCAATGGAAAGTTTTTAAGTTCCTTTTAATTTTCAAGAACAAGTTGTTGATAATAAAAATATTTGTCCTGTATGTACAGTAAAATTCGTCTAACCTAAAACCCTGTGTAAGCACCTTCCCTGGAGAGTTACTGCAGAAACCTCCAAACTGAATTCAAGATCATTGCTACTCAACCACAACTCGAGTTGATTTTCTTTTAAGGGCTTTGACTGAAAACTCACCATGAGATGTCTATGCATCTCCAATGACTGCTATTTGCAGATGCGTGGGATAGTATCTGTTTGGATGGATTTCCGGGTCATGTTGGGTCAGTAGACGTAATTTAGCGACAAAGGAGGGCGTGGTTGGCTCATATTTCTTTGGCACATCGTCTTTTTGTTTGAATAGTTTGATGACAGCTAGTGATTAGTTGCATTACAGCCAACCAATTCATCAGGCCTGGAAGTTGAGCAGTGGGGGGGGGGCGTCTCAACAACTGAAAACTCACTTTGGTGTTTTCTATAGTACTAGCCTAGTTTAAACAAAAAAAGCACACAATCGTAAATGGCCCATTGGAGCTAGGTTTAGGGATGTTTTACTGTATGCTTCATTTAATACTGATATGCATTTTATTTCCATATTCCAAGACTTGTTATACAATAACTAAAAAGTGCGACATGAACAAATATTCAGATAGTCAAGTTATTGTATGCTGCATTCAGTATTCATGTTAAAAAAATGAAACTTTTTTTGGATTAAGCAGAATATAGACAGAATATATTTACAAATACCTATTTTGGCACTATGAGTATTACTATTTTTTTAATTTAATCTCACAAATGACAAAATATCATAGTGAAGATTTCTCTGTGGTCCTTGAAAAAAGTTTGGTCTTGCAAAGTATGATGAACTTTTCCTGATATGAAAATTATCTGTATAACATTTTCAGGTGTGAATCTGTTGGAGATGCTTACTCAGGAGAATATTGTCTTGAAGAATTTAAGGTATTATAGCGTGTGTGCATATACATTTCAATCATGAGACATTTACTTTACTGGATAGTGTACTTTTGACAGATACTGCTTAAATAAAACATGGTTACCGCACTCTTCCGATTCGGCACCTATGCTCAACTAAGCGCCCACCCCCCACTTTTAGGGTATTTCTATTTTCGAGTTCACTTTCCTCTAAGCGCCTATTCCTTTCAAAATTCTCCAACTTTGACTGCCTGGTGATAAAACCACGTCTTTGAGCATTGTTTGGCTTTATACCTGTAATCAAATTTATATACCCGGTACCAGTAGTACAGCATTGATAACGATTGCCAGAAATATCATGCGAATATGTAGACCACTATAACTGTGCATAAATTATGCTTTAACAATGACCTGTCAACAACCATGAAAGAGGGTAAATACTTCATTCCATATTCAGATTACCTGTTAAAAGATTTTTACTGGTTAATTACCCTATTTTGACCAAAAAAAACATGCAGTTTTTTTTGTCAACAGATCATACTTAACACATCTATAATTAACTTCCACATTGCGTTAAAACAAAGACATTAGAAAGAGTCTTTTCTATTGTCTTTGGTTAAAAGAATGCCTTCAGGAATTCTAGGAGAGTTCTTGTATCGAAAAAAAAATTAATTAATTTAGCATGAAATTCATGCATCTTTGGGAACAAAAGGACTGTATGAATAATTTTGACAGTTGATCGGATAAGACGACTCTTGTTATCTAACTAAGCTGGTAATAATCTTACATCTCTGTTTTGTTTGATAGATTCCCGATGATCACTTAACAGGGTTATGGATATGGGATAATGTGAATGAAGCACCTTCTCAAGAAGTCTATTCCGACGGAGCTGGTATTCCCAATTCTGATTTTGTATTGTATGTCAGAGCTAAACATACTACATCTTGTAACTCAGGGGTAAGTTGTTACCATGGTAACATAATTCTGGAATTCTGATTTTGGAATTGTGTGTTTTACTCCAGTGTACTTTATTTACGGATGAGAGCCAGGTTCGTGGGCGCTTATATTCAAACCTATATTTCACAGTGAAGATTGCATTTGAACTTCTACATGTTATATATGTTTAGTTAGCTCTGTGTGTAAATTGTGTGAATATATTTTCTCTAACTAGTAAAGTGTATGTGTGTTTCTCTCGAAAATAGTCTTTTTTGAGTTTTTTCACTCAAAACAGATGTACAGAAATAGATGAAAATCTTCTGTGAAAAAATTCCATTGATCCTGTGTCTGTCAGACGTCTATTAAAGTATTGCGCATAGTGCGAAAATGAAAGGCTCGAAAATGGCAAATTTGCATAAAAGTAATTTCTTGTCTTTCTATTCGACTGAAAACATATTTGAAACGATAATTTTTTGTCATGGTAATTTGCTTGGATAATACTTGTATGTTTGACGTCCCAATCCACAAAATAATCATACAGCGACGGATATTTTGAGGGAAAATTCAACGAAGTTTCGCAAACCACTCAGTAAAATGGCGTCACTTGTTTACTGAGTAAACATGGGAGGACAACGATTTAATTTTTTTTTTTAAATAAACGCAAAGTGTAATTAATAGGTGGGATTACCGGGTAGGTCATATTAATTTTCTTTGACGGCATTGCTGCTTCGTCAAAACACAGTCCCTCAACAAAGAGGGTCATCGTGTCACTGATCAGCCCGAAAGCACTTTGTCGTAATATGAACCAGCATCAGATAATTTTAGATCGAACTGTGCCTTTGCATTCGTGCGTTTATTTTTGTTTTTTTTGGCAGAGCAGGTTTTCTCTTTTTACAATGAACTTTTTACGATATAATCGTGTTAGCACCGGCGGCAACCATGTTGTTGATGTTATGACTGAGTGGAGCATGTGCAGAACTTTCAACGAGAAGGAGGCAGTGATTTGCAAAATCCTTAGTCAATCTATAATTAGCCTCGTCGTTAAGCCCGTTGAAAAACAATGACGCGCGCAGCTGTTTATCGTCGCATTTTTATTACTATTTAGCACTTTTCTAAGTACAAAATTAACTATTTTGTTTTACTTCTATGAAGACAACCTTGCAACATTTGAAAATATTCCAAAAAAAAATGGCCAAAAATATGCCACGAACCTGGGTCTCATCCTTAATTGTAGTTTGGGTATTTCTAGTGAAAAAAAAGATTTTTACATTCATCCTCTAGAGGGCAGCTGCTATAGAGTGCTACAGTCTTGTAGCCGGAAATTTTCCTGGACAGAATTCACATTGTTACAGTTTTGAATTTGTACTTTTGTTAACTAGCCTTTAATACGTCAAGAAGCAAATCCTAAGAAGGGGAGGGGGAAGACATATATTGTAGTAAGATTTACCATTATAGCAGGACTACATTATGAAATATACTTTATACGTTATTTTTTTCAGCAGGATGTAATAGCATATGCTGCATACTGTAACTTAGATCAGTATGATCGTCCAATTGCAGGCTATTCTAACTTCTGCCCTCTTCATCTCAGCGACGACATTTACGATGAAGACACTTTCATCTTGGTAAGTTGGTTACTTTCAATACTGTTCATATTCCTTTACAATTTGTCTAAGAAGTATTTGGACAGCGAGTTAGCAAAACTTGCTCACTATTTCGGTCAAGAAGGGGCACAAACAAGCCTGCTAGGCCATTTGCTTCATCAAAACCAAAGTTATCCGTAATGTTTGTTGACTTGTTGCTTAAATGCTTCTTGCTATGAAGAGGTTTGGCTTAGATTGAAGATTATTTATTAGTTACTTCACACATAGACATTAGGTAGGGGGGAAAAATTTTGATCACCAGTCATTTGGATACGAATCCTAATATTATTTCTAAAAGAAATGATGTTTAATGTTGCGTACATTCGCCATGCACTGACAGTTGTCTCTTGAAAGCACAGACCAAACTACCATACCAATCACTATTTTTATGCAATGAAACCATTGTACACGCATATTTTAATTGACGCCCGGTAAAAAAAAACCCTGGGCCTATAATGAGGGAAGCCCTCAACTTGTTAAATGACTAAAAATAGAGTGGTGGGCTTATACTCAGGGAGGGGCTTATGATCTAGGAAATATGGTGATTCAGCTCATTTGTTTTCACAAATTTATTGGCCATATAATCCTTCATTTTTTCAATTCCTTTCATTCCCTTTCAGACAGCAGCACATGAAATATTCCATGCACTTGGATTTTCAAGTATGCTATATGATAAATTTAAAGAGTGTACATATGGTAAGTATATCTTGGACTAAGATTTGTAGCATTTCGTCGTTCTCTTCTCTACAGCATGGTTACCATACTCTTCCGATTCAGTGCCCACATACAGATCATACTTCAACATCTGTAATTCACTTTGTGTTGGGTTAGCAGAATGCTTTCGGGAATTCCGATAGAGTTCTTGTATTGACAAAAAACTGTGTGTCAGCGATGCGTCATATCGAATGCACACTAAGCCTAAGAATAATTTAATTTCACTTAGAATTTATTTTTGTTGAAGGGACAAGTCAGGAAAAATAAATATAAATACTGTATTTTTGCATATAATTCATGATAAAGGATACATGAGCTTTCATACAAATTATTTGTGATTTTTCCAGTGTTTCCCCAGAATTGTGTTTGCAAGAAGTCAATAAGAAAGGAAATATATTTGATAATATTTGTGTAATGGAATCTATGCATAGTTAGTGCAATTTAATGCTGGCTTTCATTAAGAATGCAACAATTGTGCTACATTAGTTCAGAGTCTTCACCATCATTCTATTAATTCTAGGAAGGAAGCAGTGAAAAAAAAGAGTTCACAGTACTACAGCTGCTTGTTTCTTTCGAAAAAATAGATAACATTTAATTCAATGTTTTGCCTTAATTAAAAACAGGGTTTTGTCAGGAACTGTAAACAAACCACAATAAATATATCTGTTAGATATATATAATGTTGGGGGCGCTTTGTCTATTTAGAGCCACCACTCGTCCTTAAAATAACCAACTATAAAACAAAAACTATACACTGTTCTGTAAGTATTGAAATCATAATCAGTAAACAAGTGGCAATGAATGGGTTAATGAATTTATAAACGAAATGCCATCTGCTGGAGGGACTGTGATCAGGGCGTAAAAAATAGCAAATACTGCCACATGAGGGCGCTCAATAAGAAACACTACCAACAATACAATTCTTTTGAGTTGTATTAACCGAGAATCAAAAATGAAAAAATGTTTTAAATTATTTATGACAACAAAGGGGCACTCCAAAAAATGTTGAGGGGACAATATAGCAGGTTTATAATATAGTGAATATTTTATATACTCAGATTCAAATGGACTCGCCTGTGTTAACAGACCAGATCTGCATGTTACTGATACAGAGGGACAAATAAGACTAGCCACTCCAGCTGTTGTTAATAAGACCAATACACATTTTGGTTGCTTTGATGCTGATTTTGGTGGTCCACTGGAGAATAATCAGGTATGTAAGTCCTAAAGGATGATGAAAACATGAGATAAATTTATTACTTTCTGTTTGGCAAAATAATGTTTTCTTTCATCCATTCCAGACAAATTGCTGATCAGTTTGGGTGGTTGACAAATGCCCTGGTAATAAAAATGAGGGTGTCTCATAATTGACTTTATTCATTTAATAATTGAAGTTATTGTGAAGTGGCTTATGCTTGATTTAAATTAAGCATGCAGCAAGGGAGAGAAAAATGGCATGGAGCCTGAGCTAGGAATACTTTTGGTTTAACTACTTTAAGGCAGCACCCCTAAATGTCAACATAAGTCCTATGTAATCATAGGATATATGTGATATGTCTTAAAATTGCAGATGCAAGTTGGCAAAATGAATATTATACTTGATTATCATGAAGAATTCTCGGACAATTAAATACTATATGTAGCTATTAATATTTGTTTTCCCCTTAGTTTTCTATGGACTCCTATAGCTCACATTGGGAGGCAAGATTCATGTTTGGATCTCTCATGACATCTACAATAGGACTGGTATGTGTATTCTTGTTCTTAAGCAATTTCATCATACAGTAAAATCAGAATAGACAAAACATTTTTCATTTTGTCGAACAAGTCTATGTGGAATATGGGTATAACTCAAAATCTTTTCTTTCCTGTATGGGGGGGGGGGGTTACTCAGCAAAATTAACAGTGCAATCGCTTGCTGAGAGCAAGTGAATGGGAAAAGACAGTGTTAGTAGCTGTCACCTGATTTTAATAGTGTACAAATACACAATATGTGTTAGAGCCATGACTAATTGTTGTTGATTGCGTTTTCCAGCCTCATCTTACATTTATTGATCCAATCACACTGGCTGTATTTGAAGACACTGGCTGGTACCAAGTCAACTATGACAATGCACAGAGTTTCCCTTGGGGTATGAATCAGGGATGCCAGTTTGGTGTGGCCGCACATTGTGATGAAGATGAAAATTTCTTTTGCATTGGAAGGTAGATAAAATAATTAAATAAATGTTTCTGAGTTCAAAGAAGTGTGTACAATTTCTAACCACCATGACACAGCTGATATTGCAAGCTGCAATTCAATAACACTAAAAATTGTTCTCATTGGTTTCCAGTTCTATTGGTTGTCATTATTTACATAAAGATAAGGGGGTTTGTTCTACAAATGACTACTTAGATGAATGTAGAATTTACAAAGCCGAATCAGAGGTATGATAATGTTATTTTGAGTGAAATTATTGACATACAATACTTCTTATTATGCATTCAGTACATGTATTTCCAACAATCCGCGACAATTCAGTCTATAAAATATTTCACATACTCGTACTCACAGGAACCTACTGAAGCTTCCTGAATAATCTCATACTACAACCTTGATGTTACACAGTAACATCAACATTGTAATATTTTCTTAGAGACAGTAGCAAAGATGCAAAATTTTCTTCAGTGGAATTTCTATGTATACATAATTGTTTCTTCACAGTACACATGTTTTAATCCTGACAACGCAGTGAATGATTACTCTACTTACGGTGAAATATACGACTCGGACAGCAGATGTTTTCTTGCCTCCCTCAGTGATACAAGAACGGTAAAAAGGAACATTTTATTCAAATTATTACATGTACATGTACAAGTTATTTGCTTTACAATAAAATGTTGTTAGTTTATAGTCAAAATACGCAATTCAATAGCTATCTTTATCCAGAGTTTCATAAATTCAGGAGATTATTAAGAAACCTAAGCTATCACACACAAAAAATAAACCAATAGAATAGAATTTGTTTGGTGCTTTCATTTAGAAAATTACTTAGATTGGAGATCTTGAATCATTCCATTGTGACATTTTTACTGATTATTCCTTGATATAATAAGTCTTGATACTGCCTTTGAAATTACTAACTAATGTATTAAACACAGAAATTGATAATTCGACAGTAAAATCATGTGACATTTTTTTTTTGCATTGTTAGGATGTTGCCACTGCAGGTAGGTGTTACAGGGCACGATGCAATGATACTAACACACTAGAGGTGAAAGTAGGAGATGCTCCATGGCAGATGTGTCCTTCTGGTTCTACCATTAATGTAAGTTGATAATGTATGCATCATACTGTCTGTAACAGTATTTTTACTACAATAATGATTGAATTGCATAAGATGAGTTTTACACCCAAAACCCAACTGATATCCAAGCTACGCACATGATGTAGAATGTTGTGGCCCTAGAACATGAATGTGCATCTCTAAAACACACAGACGTTGCAAATTCTTATGTAGTATGCTTTTATTTTTAAGTCACAAACTGTGCAGATTCTGGGCCAATAGAACGCAATACAGTAATAGTCTATCAATTATGGTATATTATATTATACCAGTATATTGATGGTGTTAATCCATTGATTTGAATGGTCCAAACACAAAATTTGCAGATGCAATTAATGGTATATTGGCTGATAATGCACGGCTAAACCAAGTGGCGAGGTGCCTAAACGACTGCCAGAACGTTGTGTTGACTTTGAGATGTATTGCGAATCTCCAACAAAGAAAACATAATCTTTAAGTACTAAATGATATTGAAGGACAAAAAAAAATGTAAAAAACTACGAGTCACAGACAAAAATGTATGCCACCAATAACAACCGGTGTCCCGTAGCGGCGTTTGAATTCTAGCTGACAAAATTGCAGTGAAATTGCACCCAGGTAATTGCCATGTGTTTCAAAGAACATGGGACATCGCAGAATTCAACGATGATATGTTGTATTGTAATTCTCCACTATGAGTAAATAAATTACAGGAGATGAAGGTAATTTCGAAAGCTGCAGATTTGTGCAGAGTGTACACTAACCACTGGATTAGAGCGACAGCGTGCAAAGTCTTTCTTTCGGCCGGAGTTGAGACAAGGCATATCATGTACGTGTCACAAAAACAATGCGAGAATCCGATCTTACACCATCAAACTTGCCCCAGAACAACAACAAAACTTGTCAGTCATACTGTTACAAAACTTTGGTTATACCAAAGGTATCCAGGTCAGATGTTGGGACTGAGGTCGCTGTGTCGGTCGCTGTACATGATACACTGCGTCCCGCCGCATCTCAAATTTCTGTCGAACCAAGTACCGCTGAACGTCAAATATTTAAAGTTACAAGTAGTATGATGAGTCACAAAACCGGTTTATTTCACAACTGTACTTTCAATGGGCAAATTACAATCCAAATTGTACAAAAAACGGGAAACGCCAAAAATTCGTTGTTTTAATGATCCAAACTGTACGCGACCCTGTATTTCAAAAGGTGCTGATGCAGTCAGTAAAAGGTCAGAAAGGTAATCTTTTGTTATGCTAATTTTTGTGTTTACGCTGCTTTAGTCATCTGGATACATTTTGTTTTCATGCGGAATAATAAAATAGATGCAAGTAAACTCTTTTTTTTACTAGTTTTATCGAATTGTTAATATACTGGTATAATATAATAGCAATAACCTCCCCCTGAAGTTGGGTATACCACTTGATATTGCACAATTCACTCCATATATGCACTCGCCTGCGGCTCGTGCATATATGTCGTGAATTGTGCAATATCTCGTGGTATACCCGCCTTCGGCGGGGGTTATTGCTTAATTATTACATATGTACTGCAGTTTATTTTGATTCGTCCATGAAATCAAAATCGGTATTTCCACAACCCATATGCAAATGAGGTCTGAGAGCAAACGAAGTAGTCTCTTCAGGAGTACAGTTTTTCGAAATAAACAATATTTAGAAGTATGATATTTTCCCCTTGGGGTACATGAATATACTTGCCGAGTGAAATGAAATTTGAACAACAGTAATGGTACTTTTAGGCAGTCACTTATTTTGGCCCAAACTAATTTGCATATCACCCATGCAATAATGTTTTCGGTGTTTTCACGGTCGATATGCAAATGAACATGGTATTTTCATTGGCTACCGAACTATTTTTATTTTGTAAACACATTTTCGTCTGCTATTTTTATCCAGTTCAAATCGTTCAACAACATTTTTGGCATGTCAAGTGTACATCACATGGAATACTACGATTGGGAGAACTTAATGTATGTTGACCACCTGGAAACTGAGTTTTATAAACCTTGAAGGGCTCTCAGAAGATCCACCAGCAGTAAAATCAGCGATTACTATGCAGCCGCAACCATCAGCATCGAGATACCAGGTTTCTGCTGGGACGTTGCGGCGTTACTCAGTTCCAAATAAAAACTTACCAACGCCAAAGAGCAACTTTTACCCGGTAATCAAGAC